ACACGAGAGCCACTGTTTGAGACACTTGGGCATATCACTCAGCCAGAGCGCCTAACGGGACCTATGCGAGCCAGTCTCCCGGTCAGGGTTTTCAAACCCTCATACCAGGTCTTAGTTCGACAGCCCTTCACCTTTTTCCACCCATCACCTGCCTCGGTAAATATCGCTCACCGGGGAAACCTATCTGATGACATGTGTAGCACGTCCCAACCAGCGTAATCTATGAAGGTCGACCGCTTGCTCCAGTGAAAGACCGCGATTACCTAAAACTCTGCGCCTAACCTCAGCATTGCTCGTTCGGTTACCCCAACAGACTCGTGCAGTGCGACGTAGACAGCGGTGTTCGAACACCGACAATCTATTTTTATTATGTTCCCGTAGTGGCCAAGTCTCTACACCGTATAGCAGCACTGGCTGAACCACTGCAGCATATACTCGACCCTTCATGGACAGTCGGATGTCTCGATGTTGCTGGCAAATGCGAACTGAGCCTTCTGTATGCCTGTCGACACTTCATCTATGAAGCGTCCAGGTGAGATATAGCTGTCCAAATAGCAAAATTTGTCTGCTTCCTCACTTAGAGTGACGATGGGAGCTAAGCCAAACCAATCTTGTGTAACGGCGTTTTACAATTTGAAGGTGTAAAACGCATACCATGCATGTCTACACTTGCACTCAAACAATTCACATATACTGCGGTTACCAATCCAGCGGTGATGAAACACCAACAAGTACTTGGCGTATTGAGACAAACAAATTAGAAATAGACTTAGTTCTGAAACACAACGGAGATGGTTTATTTGCGCCGTCAACGGACTATGTATGTATGCGTAAATGGTTGCGTACATACTAGAAAATTCGCGAACATGACGAAAAGCGTGTTGAATTCTGCTCCTGGATCCCACAATTAAAACGAACGGCCATCATACCTTCATTTCTATCAAAGAAAAGGAACTAACACAGGAGAATCGTAATTGCAATGAATGATGGAGAATGAAAGGGTAAATGGGTTACGTGGATGCAATCACGGACTGCCTATCGATAGTAGAGCGTTCAAACGACTGTTATTCGAATCAGTTCAATAATTAATGATTCCTGCGAGCAAAAAGATGAAACCGGGAGACAACATAAACTCCCGAATGCCAAGGCGTGTCAGGGGAACGAATAGTTGCACCTAATAAACAGCCCAGGCAAACCGGACAGTGGGAAAGGAGAACAGCGGACAGATGGAAACAGTGTGGGAGTAATCCATGACCTCTCCGAAATATGACCGGGTGCACACGCAAAGCACGCCCTGACGAAATGAAACTCAGGACGGGGGAAAGCGAAGATAATCTAACTAGACCTGAAATTCAGACTCGTAATGGGGTTTGAGAAGCTGCTGGTACTCAAAGCACTCGTCACTACCTGTTAATGTATTTGTAGGGAAAAAAAAGCGGTCAGCTCAGGCTGTCAGCTTTCCGGTTATGATACTTTAGGAGTAATATGAATTGGGAGAAACAGATTGTCGGACAAATCAGACAGTTCAAGCAATTGTGACCAAATGAGTGCACTCGATATATCACAATGAAAAAGTATGCTGAGCTGCAGGAAGAGCGTATGTGCGATAAACAGAATAGCAGATCCAACTACGGTGACAACAGGAATAACCATATTGAAAATGGGAAAATCGAAGTAGGATGTAGTAAGTTCTGGGGAATCAAAAAACGTAAATGCCTAATAAATAGTGAAAGTTAAAACAGCACAAATGAGAAAAATCTACTCATACTTCAGCTGTTGAACCACAAAACATATGGTAATGATAATAATTATGCGTATACCGCTATGCACAAAAATCGGGTATCGCATTCACAGGAATTAACAAGCAAGTCTTGTAGGAGCGATAAGCAAAACCGAATTTCACTGTCCCACTTAACTAGAACGATGATCCCAATGAAACAAATCAAGTTGGTATTGTTAAGGCCAGTGAAACAACGTAACATGGATGGTCTCCAATGGCAAACTGAAATGTAATGTTGAGACAATANTGCAACAGCCCTGAGCCGAAAAAAGAAATGGAGTGATCCACATTCCAGTTCATCGTTTATTGCAATAAAGCACGCTGGCCAGTTAGAGCAGACAGTACCAGATACTACCTCCGTCGAATCAATAGAATCCATTCAGATGGAAAGCGACAACCCGACAACCAAAACCACTCTGACACCCTCATACGAGTTCCATGCTATGAAAAGTATTGGGATAGAACAACTTTGGTTGGGTAAACCAGTCATTGTCACCTGGAGTTTTTATACAGCGACTGGTCGACAACACTCTAGATGAGTAATTCGAAGGTCTTAAAAATGAGACTTTCCAAGACTGACAATATAATCCTTGGTGTGCTGGAATGTACCAGTAGGTACGTGAGTTCACAAGCTGCTCAATCTTATTGACCACCTCTGTCCTGGAACGTTCAAATGTCGGTTATAGAACACCTTTTCCCATCACACTCAAAGCCACATATAGGGAACACGTTTGCTCTTGAAGTATAAACCAGTCGTAAACCGTTCAACACAACTTTTGTGTTGATCTCGTTGGCTTTCTATTTTGGGCGGTCGGAGAACTGGGACCGGATGTTTAAAAGAGTGATTTCACGATATAACAAGCCGAATCATGACATCAACAAAAATGCGACTAAGTGGATAGGCTGCCCTTATCTAGACTGCATACAAACTGATGGTTTTGTAGTACACAAGTTAGTGTGACAAATCACAGACGGGGGAAAATCCATAGCCATGAGGACCTGCTGTTCAGTCATGGGAACCGGTAACCCAGGAACCATATAAGGCACCGCTAGGTTCAGCGTGGTATTGAACCGGACGACAGAAAAGCTATCAAACACCATATTGTGTTCCCAAACTTTTAGGAAATCTGCCCCCGCTGTCCAGTTTTGATAGAATTCAAGCAAGCGACTACACTGAACCATGTCAAACACGCCGAGTTGTTATAGTTTTCGTGACTGATGTTTTTCCATGTTGTATCAGCATCAAAGCCATGGTTCCGATAAGTATGATCTAAACAATACCTTTGTTCACATCTACGGCGATTTTACCATTATCGGGATAAAAAAATTTAGAACGATCTACTTTCCTGATAATTTTTTTCTTACACAGAACAAACAAAATCTGACCCGTGAATAAGTCTGATCAGCTGCTTAGTGGTCGAGTGGACAGCACTGTGATGCCCCGGATTCCATTCTTAATTAACGGAAACACATTGGTTCAATCAAGTTCAAACAAGGTATTGCACTCACAAAACTCACGTTTCCACTGCTTGGAATGTGACTAATAGACTAATAGAATCTGACTTATAGACATGGAAAAGCCCTCATTAAAGAAGTGCACATTGTTCCCATAAAGAGTATAATCATCCATAGATAGCGTCAGGGATATTTTATGAATATAAACAACAATTGCAATCTCATAACCTGCCGTAACTTGGACCATTGGGGTGTAGCTAAGGATTGCATTGGCACAACGCAGAGGTGCATAAAGAAGACTCACTTGGTCGGATTGGAGGACAAATGTGTGATAGGAAATGCATCGGATTTTGATTCCCTGGGTCCCGTGTGATTAGATCCCATATCGGCAACAAAAGGTTGTGTGACTGACGGAGAGAGGCGCGTTCTATCTCGGGAAAGGGTAGAACAACCGGACGAACCCAATTCGTCTTGTTTATTGGGGAAGAAAGCAGTTGTATTTGTGTAGTTGCTGTCAGATTCGTCAGGTTTGAAACCCGTAGACACGGATGCAATGTAGGAGGCACGCCCACGACGACTGCGACCACCACGCATCCGATCTTTACGCACAGCTTCATATGCATTCACGAGATCGTTTGTATCAGGCGGATGAGAGACGGTGATGAAATCGGGGGGCGGAAAACAGGGAGCGCATGAGGTGTAATGGTCTTGTACTTCACTACGTGTATTACCATTCGGTCCTAAAGTCTCTTCAACTAGCATAACCGTTCGGTCAGTTGAGTTAGCATACAAGTCTTGTTTAACAAACAGGGATTCTGTTGGCAAATCATCACTACACAGATGACCTCGGGAATGAACAGAATTATGGGGAATGACTATGGGAGCAATACCATTGCAGTGGGAAAATTGTGTGGAAGAACCAACGTTGCATAGTTCTACTGTGTTGAAGTATGAGTTAGGCAACATTGCTGTCTCCTTAGAGCATCCATGAATTAATGGGAGAAGTACTAGTATGACAGTACAATGTAACAACAGCGTACGTCGGAAAAATACGGTATGTCCGCACTGCGAAGTGCGATGAGCTAGTAAGGACGAAGACAAACGATTGGATAATTGTCCAACCTGTCTGTCGAACATTGCAGAGCAGATTATAGGACAGAGTCAGATGCTGTCCAACCGATGTGCATTGTACACGTGTTATCTTGTTCACATCGCACGTAGCTCTTAGTCTCCCTCCATTCACGGAATTCGACGGTGAACTCAGTGATACCCCCTTCCAGAAAATAAGATGGGATAAGTTATCTTCCTGTCCCTCCCCTCTCCCTCATTCCGCCTGCACGAACTTGAGTGGCGTGAATGAGGTTTCTCTCAAACCGAGCCTAGAGTTGGCCTGCTTGTCTTCCCATTGCAGCACCACCAACACCTGATTAGCGGACTCAAAACTCACTGCCCCTGTTGCACTCGAAGACCGCGATATCTGTCCTCCCTCCCCCGACCTGATTTGCCCACTCCGCCTACGTCCTGAATTCGGTCCGCATACGAAACATAAGGACATTCCGCGGGCAAGCATCTGCATCAATGGACTGATCAGTGACAATCATCTCTGCCCCCACAAAACCACAACACAACAAACTCCGCTTGCCAATAGCAACAGTCGTTAAAATGGGTGACAGCGAGTGGTTAGATTATTTCGGAATGAGAACAAATTAGTCCAGAGGGGGCACAGCAAAGCCAGTTAGGAGAGTGGGGACATAGAAAGTCAATTTTACAGAGTGAAGCGCTTACCCTCCACTTTCATACCGACGGAAAGGCATTTCTGAAAACGACAAAAGGCACAACGTTTTCGGTGAACCCGATCGATGACACATTGGCCCTGTTCGGTGCAATGGTATTCTTTCTTGTTTTGAACAGTGCGCTTAAAAAATCCTAGAGTGTAAAACAATCACATTACGGACCAGGCCACATAACCTCACCTTTACATGATTCGCAAGTGGGGAGACCGTAATGATATCCGGACAACCGATCACCACAAACTGGGCAGTTTTCATACAATGGATTGATGGAAACGTCCGGGTTAGAAAGTGACCGGTTAGTGAAAGTTGCATCTGAGAGTGTGATAATAATACAAAAGAGTGGTTACTTACCAATTGGACTATCGTCTGGCTCCTGACCACTGGTTTCCGGTGAGTCTACGCTCAGCGAATCTTCTGCGTAACATTTAGGATTCAATGAGAATGGATTGTTGGAATCTTGTGAAGAACTTAACTTCAGCTCATTCAACGAAGTGTGATCGGTTGGAGTGGGCGAAGACATGAACATTGCCACAATGGCAAACGCAGGAAGTCACGTGTTAGAGCAGGCGGACATCAAGAATGTTCTGAAGATCCCTGAATACAACCCAAGCAATGAGCATTGGATAGCTTAGGCACTAAATGACCATGGGAGGGCTGTTTCATTAACTGGTAAAAATGATGCGCCAGAATACGACACATTGCTCACGAATCTGACAAAAAACAAAGGCAGGGGTGGTAAAAACAACAACATGGTTTTAGATTGCCGTACTGATAGGATAAATACACATTTTGAGAGGAAGAATCCGTGATAAATGTTGACAAACGCGTGGAATCAATTTGTCCAACGGGCCACTCTTCTCTACGAACAGAGAAGTCCCAACAGTTCGCAGTTAAAACCAAGCCATCTAAGGAATGCAGCGTACAACATAAATAAATTAAAACAACTAAGTCACGGCCGAGCCTAGGCGCGTTCTGTGCAAATTCCATAAATAATTTGTATCCAGATAAAATGAAAGTAATCCGAAAATTGGTAAAACCATTGCAATTGATTACTCGAACTACTTGTTTACGTTTGTGATATCGTGAGACAACTATAGGCGTGATTACTGAGATCTCCTTTCATAAAAGTACGAAATTGCGAAGGAAGAACGGAATGCAATCACAAATAAATTCCGAAACAGCGGAAGCTAACGCGATATTAATATTTTGTTTTCATAGGTTCAAATATGAAAATTGATCCCGAACCCTGTGTGACTCCATCTTGTCCGATGCGTCACATTCCTTACACACAGCCCTATCTAATTCCATTTCAACTTGTCACCCGCAGCAAATTTAAACCGTTAAATACTCGTACCACTGCTTTTCACAACTCTGTTGTACCTTACCTTTCACGTTTGTTGGCTTCTAGGGAACGAATATCAAAAGACCTTATACGCAGTCTCATGTAGATTTTCACGTCAAAATTTCTTTATTTTTTTACTCGTTCTCCGTGTCCTTTTCATTATCATCTAAGTAACTATATGTCACATCTCTAAGCTCATTTTTAATAGCGCGCATACCAAAGCAAAAGTGATAATATTCTTTTCGCTGAAAATTCTATCCACATTGGATAAATGAAGTGCACTCTTGACTTGACTTGGAAACATTAGCATATCACATTACCATTCAAATATACTTTGAAAATGGAGTTGATCGACGGAACCCAATTCAATGAGTTCGGTACCTCCACCATTAAAACTGCAGTTTCCTATGGCGATCTGGGTAGCAGTATATCCGTTACCCATTTGGATGGATGAATGTAAAGATACTGAATGCTAAACTAAATTTTTGGGGCATACGACCAAATGCACGAACAGTTTGAGTTTAAACAACCATGAGAGAAGAGTTCTACTGTTTATCACACTTAACCATGAGACTCAATGTCCTTAAAATTTGTTTCATTTTTCTTGTTTTCCTACTTTTTATTGAATATGTAATGATACGATTTCCAGTAAGGTCGAAGTCGCTAATCAAAAGGGTACCATGTAACACAGGGAATGGGGGAGTCAAGTGATGGACGTGGAATTCCAACACTCGTCCTCTGGAGCGATAATTTGTTGACCACTGATCCCGAGGTCTCCAAGTTAGAGTCCTTGGGCAAACAACGGACTCAAGTCCCTTGATCAGGGATTCTATACCATCATGTCAGATATTAGTTTGATCACCCTTGCCTCTCCACCCACCTATCTCAGCAAACAACGAAAACCGTGGAAGTCTATTTGGCAACGCGTTGCACATACCTTAGCCAGCATATCCTGCGGAAGTTTAGCACCTGGTCGTTAGCGATTACCTAATCCTCCACCATTAGGCTCCTCCTGCTCCCAGAATTGAGAGATGCGGCATAAACAGCGTTGCTCGGACACACAATATTTATCTTTATCTTGTTAGCATAACAGATAAGAATCATCATAATGTAGTCTGAAATCTGCAGTCGCAACTCTTCTTTTTTCAGCCGCATATAGCGACGACGCTATATGAGTATTCGCGAACAGCGAGCTGAATTCCGACCAGGTCGCGGTTGTATCGAACAAAACTTCCCTGACCAATTCGAAGCTTTCGACTCAGTTGACCGCGAAGCGTTGATGATTCCTCTTTGAAAAGAAATGCCACATGAGTATGTGAATCCATGGAGATCATCGTATTTGCACAGTTCTGGTAACATAAGGATATTCAACAAACTAAGTAGATCGTTCATCGCCAGCAGCAGCACTCGTGAAGATTGCCCTATCTAACCATTCGTGTTCAATTTGGTCTACGACGAAATACTGGAGAACGCACTAAGTGGTCTCGAAACTGTTGGTATCAAATGGATAGCTGGAGAAATGCTACGCGATTTAGAGTATATTGGTGGCATCATTTGGGCATATGTAAGGTGAACAGGAATTAGTTGCATTTTTAGGGAAGGATAAAGAAAGTGAACCTTTACGACCAACACAGCACAAAATCTAACTGTGCATACAAAACTTCTTAAGCTTAAAAGCACCAAGAACGTCACTGCTGTTTGTTTGTTGTCACACCATTCAGCAGTCTTTCGGACCCCAACTTCGAAGATGATAAACACTTATTCTACTTATTTACCTACTCACTCTCTGTATTTCTTCATACCTAGTTTTCACGTCATATACCACGCCTGAGCCAGCGGGTTCTTATGTGATTCGCCACTCCAAGTCCCGGGGCTTAGATTACGGGTTACCATCACTGAACAGCAGGTCTTTGTGACCACGGGGTTAGCCCTCACTGCTATTAATCACACACTGTAATAAAAAATATCTTTAATTCCACGTAACGTCCTCCATCTTATGACTGCAGAGGCGAATAAGGCGAGATGGGGTAAACGACGGCTGGGCACGTGCCATACTTGCCCTAGCCAGCGAAGCCCATTGTGTTGAATTCAATGTAATAACGAATTCTCCACCGAATCATTTTCGAATAATGGCCGACTTACCCTAGTGTTACCTAAAAACTCCTTTAATTCAACTTGCGCTTATGTAAGAAAAAATCGGAGACGTCTATGCGCAAATTTATGGTCCCAACCGTAAAACAGAACTGACCGCGCAGTGGCACAGTATACATGACCTTTCAGTTTCAATGGAACCCCAAAGTGTTTCAGTCATGAGTACGTTGCTCGTGCCTCGAAAATGCGGGCGTTTGCTTCCTTTATCATGCTACCGTCATCTGTCCTGTAACTACCATTTTCAGAGAAGTAACCCACTATAATTATTTATCACCAAGCATAAGGCCAGAGGTAGACGACATCCAATCTTGCAATATCAGTTTGCATTTTGAAGGTGCAAAACGTAAATCAAGTCTATCAACAGCGCTCTGCGCATCCTATATTCGTTAGCAAAGAAAAACGATGTCACCAGTATAATCCAAATCGTTTAGCATTTCTCCAGCTGTCCATTTGATACCAACAGTTTCGAGACCACTTAGTGCGTTCTCCAGTATTTCGTCGTAGACCAAATTGAACACGAATGGTTAGATAGGGCAATCTTCACGAGTGCTGCTGCTGGCGATGAACGATCTACTTAGTTTGTTGAATATCCTTATGTTACCAGAACTGTGCAAATACGATGATCTCCATGGATTCACATACTCATGTGGCATTTCTTTTCAAAGAGGAATCATCAACGCTTCGCGGTCAACTGAGTCGAAAGCTTCGAATAGGTCGGGGAACACGACAACTGTTGGTCGATGATGTGTATGGTGTATCTTGAGGACGTGAAGATTTGGTCGATACAACCGCGACCTGGTCGGAATTCAGCTTGCTGTTCGTGAAGACTGAAACAATCAGTGATTTGGCCCCAAGACGACTGCCTACCAAAAGCGACAAGACCTCTTGCGTAAGGCAAATCGGGTTGATATCGTGATTTTAGCAGGAGACATGACTCTAGAGTAGGCCGACTGACTTCGAGTGAGGCGCATCTGGATGGTGCTTTCGGATTAGATTCCCGTCGCTCGGAAAACGGTTGCTGGCTCTATGTTCTGACCACCGGCTATTCCACACCAGTACGAACTTCAGACGCTCCAACTGCCATTACGTCACTTGGCGTCCACCCTCCTCGAGTCAATGACAAACGCAGATAAACCACGTCGCTATAAACTACAAATGGCGGGGGTTGCACTCAAGACTGTCAATCGTACTGGAGCACTACCCTCGAATCCGACCACGCGTTAGTTTGCACCAAGCTGCACATGTACTTAGATGGGGGTCCTAAAAGTACGGCACAGCGGCGGTTAGACTGCGATAAGTTGTTTCAACCAGCACGCTTAACCATCTTTCAAAACGCGCTAGCTGAAAAGCTGAAACCAATCCCACCTGATAACGTCAGTGGGCACTGGTCNGCTTATCAAGAAAGCTGTGCATTCTGATGGCTTAGTTAGCTGTGGTCTAGCACGCCGTGTCGTGACACTGGATTTCTGTTGTCTCTGCGACTTCGTGACGAACGTCGGTCTATTCCCACCGGCAGAGAGAATAGCGTAACACGGCTTGTAGTGAGACGTGAACTTAACGTAAGCCTAGACAGAGATCGCGAGATCTGATGGTCTCAACGCACATCAGAAATGGAACGTGCAGCCGCCATGGGACATTCCCGTAAGCTGTTCCATCTCATTCGAGTTACCGGTAGGAAAGCCTTGGGGCTAAGCGAGACTATCTATGAAGCGGACGGCTTGCTTATTCACAATCAACAGCAACGTCTTGAACGCTGGGCAGAGCGCACCAGAGCACAGTTTAGCTGGTCATCCGCGTTAGCTTCTTATACAGCTAGTACGGCACACATCCCATAGTCTGTTTCAATGGACCCACCTTCTGAGGCGCAAATCCGTAAGGAGATTCAAGCCTTGGGATGTCACAGCGCCGGGCTCCGATGGCCTTCCCCCAACTCTATTTAAAGATGGTGGAATGAAGCTTGCTAGAGAATTCCTGTTCTCCAAAGTTTGGAGCACTGAGCAGGTCCCCTCCTTGTGGAGGGAGTCGATTGTCGT